CCTTAGAAGCGAGAATGGTGAGACTTCATCTCACATGCTTTGTACATGTTATCAGGAGGGACCAGTCTTTGGGGAAGGACATCATGCTTGGTAAAGTAGAGGGTCATGAAAAAGAGGAAGACCCTCAATGAGATGGATTGACACTGTGGCTGCAACAGTGAGCTCAAACAAACAATGATTGTGAGAATGGCACAGAAACCGCGGCGTTTTAGTTTTGTTGTACATAGGGTTGCTGTGAGTCAAAACCCACTTGATGCCTTCTAACAAGAACAACCTCAGAGAAATTCATTTTTTCACTAGATAAGTATTTTTGGAGCTACTGCTCTGTACTGGATGCCGTTGAAGATGCTTGGCCCTTAACGTTAATAGACAAAAAAGCTCTCACTGAGTTTAAAGTTTAGCAGGGGAGACAGATAATAAAAAGCAAATAAATAATTAGCTGCATGGTACATAGAATGTTATTATAGGAGATTAAATTCTTTGTCCGAGGTCACTGAAAAGGTTAATGGCAGAGCCAGGACTGGAATATGATTTCTATGCAGCCTTTTTTTTTGCTACACCAGCCTGTCTCTGCCATAAATATTGGCATGGTTTTGACTTTGTTTAATTTCAAATTTTCCATGTTCTATGCAGTATGTGTAAGAATGAGCTATTGCATTAAATTGATTGTTATGAACTCAATATTTTTTGTTTTACTTAGGCCAAAATGACCTTCAAAATATTTCAAATGAATGAAGAACGACTTAAGATAGCAATAAAAGATGCTTTGAATGCAAATTCCCAACTTCAGGAAAGCGAGAAACAGGTTTGTACTGTATAGGACCTCTTTCTTTAACCTGCAAATATGTAATTAGAAATGTTGCAGACATACTGAATGACTGATCCATGCTAGGGACAAGAGTAGGCTTTTCCTGGAAAAAGGAGAGCAGAACAATCTCCCACGTGTCCTTTGGTGTCTCTCTTGTATAGGAATCAAAAGTGTATACTTTTTCCCAAGGAGGGAAAGTGAGCCAGGGCAGGTAGGTTTAGCATTTTGGTAAATAGC